GGGGTGGTTATCTGTTGTCCTTTGTGGACACCTAGTCAGAAATTGTCACAGATGCATGGGTTAAAGACATGGTGTCTACAAGCTAGAGTTCCACTTTCTGCTCCACCTCCACCCCCGCTTCAGGTGATCCAACCTACCTGTGTCTCCGTACAGGCTAACAGACCTTCATGCTGCTCTACAGGATCTCCTGAGTAAGGGAGTCATTGCCATTCTTCCAAAAGTGAAAGTTTTTACTCAAACCTGTACAGTTCCCAAACCAAAAGGGGTAATTCTCCCCATCTTTGATCTGAAAGCCTTAAATGTCTTAACCTGATTCTTAAAATTTTCCATGGGATCTAATCAACATACTGGAGCTCCAAGCTATATGATTGTCCCTTAAGCACTGGACATCTTAAATGTTCTTGCATCTGATCAGAATTCAGTCAGACAAGGCCACAGAAAAGGCATACATCAAATTATCAATGATTAACCAGAAGTCTCTCTTCAGAAAGAGAGGCAGAGAGATTCTGTCTCTTGCAGAACTTTGTATCATTTCTTGCCATTCACATACCTGGCATGGAGAATGGTCTCTTCACCTGGAGGACCTCTGTTGAGGGATGCCGCATGTAGATTTTTTGATGCCTTCCTATTTAACAACAAATTGAACAAGTCTTTCTCTGCATGCAGGGATCCTCCAGTGTTCATATTGGATGCTCTGGTGGTTCTGTGGGATCATTTCAACCTCATCTATGCCTTTCCTCCTCTTAAACACCTTCCATGTCTGCTCTGCGGGATCATGCTGGAGGGCATTCCAGTGATTATTATAGCACTGAACTGGCTCAGACGGTTGTGGTACTCAGATCTCATAAGACTCCTGGCGGACTCTATGGGCTTTTCCAGATCGACCGATTCTTCTGTCCCAAGGAAAGGTGTACCACTCTGCTTCATGGTTGCTGGCTTTGATGACATGGCTGTTGAAGCCCAAGTCTGTAGAGATAGGGGCCTTTCTCATTCGGTGATTCCTACACTCTTTAAAGCTAGAAAGTCTACTTGCACCAATTATACCATCACACATGGAAGGCATACTCAAGCAAGGCAAAAATGTATAGTCCAGGAAATCCAATCCAGGCAGATTTGCAATCAAGCATGGATCAGCATTTGGACCTCAGTACCATTAGAGATCAAATTTTGTCTCTTGGTATCCTGTCCCAAAGACTGCTTGCCTCCCATTTGTTTAAGGCCTTTGTTTTTGGTGTCCTTCTTCATATAGTCCCACCTGTACAACCACCAGTGACTCCATGTGATCTGAATTAGGTTCAAAAGCTGTTTTTTGGATAGCAAAAAGAACCAGGCAGGGATATTCCTTTTTTCTCTCTTACACTAAAGGCTGCCTTTCTTGTTGCCTTCACCTCCCAAGGCGTGTTTCTAAGCTAGCTGCTTTGTCTTGTAAAAAATCATTTTTGATCAGGATTAGGTTGTCTTGAGGCCCAAAACCTCCTTTCTTCCTATGGTGGTTTCTGCTTTTCTACCTTAACAAGGACATTTTCCATCCCTCTCTCCTGTGTCAGTCCAAAGGAGATTTCCATTTGCTGCTTGAATGTAGTTTGTGCTGTAGTGTTTATCTTGTAGCCACAACTTGCATTAGGGAGAATTACTCCTTTTGCTGTGTTTTTTGAGGGTCCCTGCAAAGGAGAACCAGCTTCTCATTCCACCATACATCAGTGGCTCGGACAGATCATCATACAAACTTATAGGCTTAAAGACAAGGTTCCACCTTTTCCTGTGTAGGCACACACTACTAGGTCTGTAAGTTTTTTTCTGGACTTTTTGGTATCAAGCATTGGTTTCCTAGTTTGCAAGGCTGCCACCTGTGTTCTGAGGTGGATGTTCAGGCCTCAGTTGATGCAAGCTTTGGGTGTAAGGTCCTTCAGGCAGCTCTGTTTTACACTGTTACTAGGTTGTCTTGTTAGTATTTTGTTTATGTTGCCCACCTTTCAGTTGTACTACTTTTGGATGTCCTAATTGTCTTTGTATTACTTCTGTACCTGTGTCCCTTAATGTGCAATAAATAAAATTTCTACTTACTGTAAAATCAGTTTTTTAGAGTTTAATGCCAGGCTCCACCCCTCAGTGTTTGAGATCTTACTCCTAATATTGCTTTTCTACAGAATTTAAGCATGATGGGAGAATGAGGGGTTCTACTTGACTGGCTAAGGGCTTTTTATGTTTACCAGTGTCCAATTCCTCCTATGGGAGGCAGTAGAACCCACTTGTTTCTGACTTGCTTTTGATCCTGAACTCCAAGAAACAAATTCTAAAGTAAGTACACCAATCTTGCTTTTTAAAACAATGTTGCTTTCAGCTTCCACACTCTGACACTCTGTGCTGGGAGAACTGAGTAATAGCCACACCCTCAAGTACAGGTGTCATGGCACAGACTGGGATTGCAGATCGGTGGTAGCTGATCAGGTCTTTGTGCTTATGGACCTGTGTCAACAGGCCTTTCCTTACATCACAACTGCTTTTCTCCTCTTACAATATAATGTGAAAGAAGCTTGAAGTGGGTTGATGCAGCTTATAAGTAGGTCAACTCCAGGTAAGAAAGAGGTCAACTGCAGATGAAATGCACTGGTCCATTAAAGGAGAACTATGAGGTGAGTGCTTTTCACTCACCTCATAGTTCTAGCCGACCTGTGACAATGAGACTGTCACAGGTCGGCTCAGTAGATCGGGAGGTGAGCGAACACATACCGGGTTCGCTCGCCTCTCGATCCTGTCACGGCTCTCTGCCGTGACAGGGGGAGGGGCTGGATTCCCCTCTCCCCGCTCCGATCTGCCAGCGCTGACTGGCGGAACGGACGGGGGAGGGGGCGAGAACAGCTGGCTCTGCCTCTAGATAGGCAGAGCCAGCTGTCACTCACGCAGCTGGGCGGATCCCGTCATCTAAGTCGTGATCTGCTCCGGCTGCGGCGTCTCAGTATACTGCGAGCTGTAGCTCGCAGTATACTGAGCTTAGGGTAACGGGAGGACGCCAGTTTGTGTCCTCCCGTTACCCTACGGAGAACTATTGGGAAAAACACTGACCCCATAGTTCTCCTTTTAACCCTGAATTTTCTCAGAAGCAAGTGGAATGCATTTGAAACAAAACTGCATTTTCTTCCATTGACACAGGCCCTTACTGAGAGCTCTGGGCCTTTTTATGTGCCCATTGAGCTACACAATCATGTTTAGACATCCCACACAGCTGCTGCAACAGTAACATGGACATAAGAATATGGAAATAGGTTGTTAGTACAATATCTTATCTGACTGCATGTTTATGTATGTCACATCAATAATGCTTTATGTGTTGGACTGGAGTATAAGAGGTCCTCAATACCAGGAGCACTAAAGCTCATGCTTTTATTGCTCAAAAACAGTATGTCAGTCTGATTTGGTATATAATGGCAGTCAAAGTTATACTGCATATCTTGGCTTTTCCTGTTAAAGGTGATGTTGGTCATCACCAAAATCTTTAGTTGTGTTTAGTTGTGATGTATACATAAAAATAAAATAACTTTGTGGAAGTTTCTCCTTACCTTAAATAGATTCTTGGCTGATAGCCAGCCCTATGCATAATATTATGAGTTAGTACATGCACAGTAGAAATTTGTGCTTGTGAATATCTGTTGGCTGGGAGAGGTCACGTGTCAAATCTGCACATTATTTTGTCACATTCTGAGCTATTGAGAAGCTACTAATTACATTCCAGGAGTTACTTAGTTTTGTTTCAATAATATTTGAAATTATATCCTTTTTTTTTCTTTTCTTATCTTTGTTGATAAATATTATTTAAATGTTGATTCCATTTTCTTTTCACCGATTTATATTTTGATATTTTGCACTGATTTTTAGTTAATAAATATATATTTTTTTGCACATTGTTGTTCTTATTTTGTCTTCAGGTTAGCGCAATTAAAGAACTCAAGTTTATATGTTGATTTGTGAAAATAAGTTGGGAATCTCCTTAATTACAGATCCTTGCTTGTTTTCACAAATAGAAAACTGTTTATTTTATCAGAGTAAACATTCTGACATTTTTACCAGCATGTACTTACCAGGTACCTCCTGGAGTGTACCAGTTTATATGAGGTAACCCCACAGCATTGTAGATTTATTATAATTGTTCCTGAAATGTATAATACATTTCGGAAACCTCTGAGTGGACAAGTACTGTAATCGTATTGAGGGAAGAGCAATTTTTGGAATATCACCAGTCATGAAAAACCCAAATGCTAAAGTTATTTAAATAGCTTCCTTTTTACTTTGTAAATGTAGTTTTTCTATATTGGTGAAAGTAAGTGGTTAATAAATACATGCTGCTCTTTCCAGTTTCTCTATCTGAGACCTTCTTTAATAGGTTGACCACTGTCTCCTAATGCTGTGCTTTCATCCATTCTGCTGCAGCCAGTGCCCCTGCAGGTTGATTGACAGCTGCTCTGACTAATTAGCAGCTGAGACTGTGAATTCCTATATCTGTGAATTCCTATATCTGTAACTACTAAGTTAGCTTGACAGTTTTGCCTGTTACAGAAACTGGTCTACTGGGAGGCTTAACAGGTAATACAATTATGTTTTGGAGGGCTTCATAGTTCCACTTTAAACCTGAAATGAAAAAAAAAAGATTGTATGTGACTGACTGCTCTGAGTTAAGATAGTTCTGTGGCCAGTTTATAAAGAAAGCCTATCATTTTGTGGCCATTTCAGTGGTGGTGCGCTTCTTACACATTACTTGTTGTTTTCAGGGAAAAGACAATTTTCTGAACAGCATTACACAGAGAAAAATAAAGTATGAGGTAGGTATTCATTGCCTTTTGAGACATTGAAATTAATTTGCATGACTAATGATTAATTCACTTTGATTTGGTGTAATTATGTACAGTGGTGGTGGGGTTTTGGTATCCTTTGTAACAGAATAACTTAGTGCAATTAGCTTGCCCTGTTAGCTTTCTGAATTGCCAAGACCTTTCCGGGTGACACCTTTATGACAAAGTGTTACCAGTCTTTTGATGATATTTTTTTCTTGTTCAATGTTTTTACTTTTGTTTTTATGGTACGGAAATATTGTATAAACAGTACAAGCAAGTAAATAATGTTTGCAAAGGTGCACATGGGCAGATTTATAATAAGGTTCAGTGTACATAAATAATGTAAGGTAAAGCAAAGAGAGGACTCACTTGCTTCAGTCTTGGTGCAGGGGGCTTAGTAGTGTGGGATGGGAGAGGGGTGGAAAGAATAAGTATCTACCAGGTTAGATATGGAGGAGCGCTGTATAAATCCCTGAAGGCACCTGGCATACCATTATTGCCAAGCAATTTCGCACTTAGATTTTAGCTTCACATTTTTTCATGAAGCATTACCGAAGTGATTCTACATATTGTCTCGCCACTACAGAGAATCTGGCTCTTCTGGAATTTACCTATAGTCTGTTTTGCTGATGTGAGGACATGTTGCATCAATCTGGATTGGAATTTGCCTAGATTAAGTGGTTGGAGGTTAAGGCATATTTTGCTAGTAGTGGTATTGCAGATCCAAGCAGCTGTGCTAGCCTTTGATTGTTTGATTTTGGGCCTTGGATTTTTCAAACAGGACCAACAGAGATATGACAAAAAGTACGTTTGCCCACAGCCTGAAGATGTTATACTTTTAAATATATATTTTTAGTGGGAGTGACACCTCCCTCAACGCACGTTTTAGGTAATGGCGGACATTGTTTGGCAGAGTTGCCCACTGGCTTTGTATGCTCCCTGCGGCTTTAGTGGTAAGCTCTCCACATCAGAATTTCTGCTTGCAGCAAATTAAATCCAATGCTTTGCATTTATGAAAAATTCTGCCGGGATAGTGATACTTCCTCTTAGAAATCTAGACACTAAAATCCCCAAGAGACATAGGACAGTTTTAAGCCCTCTGGCATCCCCCTAAAACTAAATCATTGCTTTCACTTGATCTAACCCATTACAGTTTATCCATATAACATAAGCGAAAATGTGGGGTTGTTGTGTAGGGAGAAAACAGAGGCTGACCAGAACTGCAACCACAATTGTGTGTATCATATACCATAATCGGACAGGGTTAGTGTTGTCTGTACCTTAATTAGTAGGTGACAGTTCTCTATTTCTTTTGCCTTTTCCAACTATTTTCCAGACAGTGTTGTGAAATGCTGCACTGCGGTGCTAATGGAGTTGAATTTCCCTTAATAGCAATAATGATTCCAGCAGTGTAGGCAACAGAATGGATCATAGCATTAATCGGTCCGGATAGATCACATTCAGGAAGTTGGGTTTTTAAAAGTGCAGGAAGGTCTTTTTCACCAAGTGACACACATAGCCGTTCATGATCATACTATATGAATATTTTTGTCTTGGGACCTTATCACTATTCACTGTAAGTCACACTACAACAAAAGGGATCTGGCTGAACATGTCACGACCCACCAGTTGAGAATCAAGGGTCTAGAAGATATGTTGTTAGCACACCATTCTGATTCAGAATATCATCTTTATTTGTATTCTTTTAGCATGACATGTGAATGCAACGTTTCAGAGCCTCACCGGACCTGTTTGTCAAGCAAAGTGTTTGTTTTTTTTTGTTCTTTTTTTCTTTTTTAAGAATTCATGGCTTACCTAAAAATCAACTTTCAGGCATTTTTTTTTCCAACCCAGAAATTTCAGAAACATGTAGTAATGGACAGGATCCCGTTTGCACAAAACTACAATAGAGCATCCAACCAGACTTGCAGGCCATCAATCGTAATATCAACATCCTGCAGGCAGATAATGAATTAGTGCCCGTTGTTAACAAACGCAGAGGTATACAAACGCAGTAAATCTCTACGCAATTATTTAGTACGGACAGACCCAAGATCTAAATATGAGAAAACACCCATAAAAATATCAGAGCAGGGTGTTACAAATCATTAATTTGCGGTGACTTTTTTTTACACCTGCACAATGGCATACAAATTTGTGGATATCTGAATTGTAACACAGAGCATAGTGTATATTTTGAAGTGTCCCTGTACTCTGGTGTACGTATGCAAAACAAAAGGCCCATTTAAGAGACGTTTCCAAAAACACAGGAGTGACATTAGGATGGCGATCATCACCAAAGCACAGAAAGGAGAAAGTATAGATCTAATCAAGCCTGTGACAGTCCATTTTATTGAAAACAAACATCAGACTCATGAATTGAGAGGTATGGTAATAGAACAGGTACAGATGGCAGCAAGGGGAAGTGATAGGAATGGGCAACGTCTACGTGAAGAAGCAGATTGGATCTATAAACTTGACACTGTGATCCCTAAATGTTTAAATACCAACCTACCACTAACATGTTTCATAAGTGCAAGATAATCAGATCTTTAATGTGGTCATGTATATACACACAAACACCATGCGTCCTACAGCAGCTATGCTGATGATTCTGGCCAGCGAGCCTTTAGTGATGGTTACGCTTGGGACCATTATTAGAGTTTTCTGCACATTAGCACTTTACACATGCACATAAGCCTGAATAATGTCATCTGTCCAACCAAGAATGTCTGCAACACAATATGCAATGCAAGGCAAGCAGTCATGTGTTTAAGATCACCCTATTCCGTAACTATTACTGGGGGTCAGAATTTACCTAATTTAATTTATTTCACTGTGAGGCATGGTGGCCATTCCATTTATCCTTGTGGATGCAACCCCTGACCTCTCCCTATATCTTGACTTTTCAGACAAACAAGCAATTATCCAGTTCATCACTAGAGGCCAGTAAACTCATATAGTGTACTCTACACACAATATCTAATAACAGTGGCAGGCTATGTGAGCTCAGCTCAGGGCTGTAAACTGTGGTCATGCTCAGTCTAGCCAGCTGAGTCTCTGGATGTGGGGATGAGACTCTACCTCCCAGCTCCAGGGCAGAAACTGATTGGTTAACTGGACACACACCTTCCTCCTGATAATCAGGCAATATGCAAATAACAATACAATGCATACTACATGACTTTCCCAATGTTATGACAGAGTTTGTTTACTTGTTTTGAGTTTCAGTAATTCTGGTGGGAATATGATGTCATTATGACATCAATGGGTGGTGAAAGCTCTAAATGCACTGGGTATTTAAGGATGTACAGCACTTTTGATCATTGACACTTTGCCTGGTGAAGGGGTCATGTGAGGCTCCTGAAACATTGCTTTCAAATGTCATGCTAAAGGAATAAGAATAAAGATGATATTCTGAAACAAAAAAGGACACTTATAATATCACCTAAGGTAAAAATGGTGCTAAATTGCAGGCACTTTATGGTATCTGGAAATTCTTGTGGTAGTCTTTAAATTCATCTTCGGCCTATAAAGCCTCTTTATTTCTAGGGCCAGGTTATAAATAGGGCCTCTACTTGTCTCCAAGTAAGTATTAAGACGCTCTCACTCCTAGCACTTAGCCACTCTCACAGCCTTTCAAGAGATGTCAACTCTTCAGTGGGCAGTAGAGCCTCTGGGTGTTGAGTGACTGAGCGTAGCTTGGCACTGAAGGAGGCTGGGCTGGGTTAAAAAATAAAGGCCTGATGTATAGCCCTGACCTGGAATCCAATGGGACTCTGTAGGAATTAATCTAAAAACGAACACATTCTTGGCAGCAGTATTGTTACCTTGGGCACTTTGTAGGCCATGTCAGCTTACCCTAAATGACTCCTGAGGATAATATTTACATTTTAACTGGAAATAATGCTTGCATTTCAGAAGGTTTAAACATTTACTGTTCTCTTCTTTTTAGGCTAGTAGCTAGTAGATCCTTGCTTAGTAGCCAGTAGTTAACTTATAACATGTTTTTTTTAAATTTGGTCTCCATGACACCAACATATTTCAAAAGATCATGGAAATATATTTTAGCTATTCGGTCTCTTTTAAACTGTTTGCTAGGTTTAGTAAAATATATATGTGTAAAACTCAAAGGAAATGGGAGTTGAAGAATAACCGCATAACCTTTTTACTAAAACAATACCTTAAATGAATAAAGTGATGGAAAATGTCTAATTTCTTAATCAGCACCAATCATACAATAAATGATCTTTTCTGTGGAAATGATGTGCGTGCACAAAGGAAATGTTGGATTCTTTCCTGTCTTTAACATTTTATACAGAAAATACAAGAACCTCAGGCAGACCCTGGAAAGGTATCTTTTCCTGAGATTGAAACCTTGTCGCTGCCTACAAGACAAGCCAGGATGGCAGTGGTTGAAAGGCAAAATCTAAATCCTGTGACTACTAATTTATATTCTTGCTCCACAAGAAAATGTTCTGACTATGAAGAGAAACATTTGAAGGAAGAGAATGAGAAAAGGAAAAATAGATCATCCATTAGTGAATATTTTGACTTTCTGTCTGACACAGAACGTGAACCAAGTCACCTTCTCAGTAGAGAGCTCTGTAACAGCAAATGCTCTCATCAAAATATTTCATCTGCTGCTCAGAAAATTCCTGCCAAGACCAAAGGAAAGCATTTAGAAAGTGTATCTGGTGACCGCGATTTCTTTCAAATGGAATCTGACCGCACTGTCTTCCAGCAGATGTCCTCCTCCGAGATGAAGACGCTTGATAATGAGCAACCCGAGTGCAATGATATATTTCATTGTAATCTCTCTGAGACCAATATGCTTCCTGAAAATGAGGTAAAGGAGAACAAGCTTTGCTGCCCAACTCACCAGGGTATCCTCCAGCAGCCTCATGCTTACCAGCGTGACTCTGATAACAGCGATAACTCCTTGTGCCAAGATGTAGCACATGAAAAATACAACCTGCAAAGTCTTTTTAGCAAGTTTTCTTATCTTTATAAAGAGAGAAATCTGCCAACCATTCAGAATGTTATTAAACAAGCTAAAGAGTTGTACAGCATACACGCTGATAGCACGCAAAAGATTCCAGGTCTTTCGTTTATTAAAGATTTGCCATTTGGAAAGTATTTTCCATTCATAGAGTCAAGCAAGGTAAATAAAGGTTTTGATACTTCTGATCCACATGACAACAAGGTGAAACTTTACAGCATTGGTCAATCAGTCGAGGATACAAATGCTGAACAGCTGGTGCTGTTTGAATTGTCTCTGAGGAAGGGATGGGAAGATTGTGATGGCCAAAAGAGTAAAGCTGTCACAGGAGAGAGTGGTAGTTTGGTCTCACTTGCATTCCTGAAGTTTCCTAATAAGTATTTCGAACTGATGAGCTACTCTGCTGATGAACTTTTGGATTACTTTATCTGCGCATTGCCAAACTTTCATGCTGACAGGAACCAGTTTAAAGGTTTATATTGGCATTCTCTTGGCAGCAAGAATCTCCATGAACCCCAGCCAGCGTGTTTGCTTATGTTCACATCAGATATTTTCTTTATTTTATTTATGGGCCATGCTCCAAAACTTTTTTGTTCTCTTCCTCTGACTTCTTTGCAAGAACTTCGCATTTGTTTTGGCGGACAAAGTGTTCACCTCCTGGGGACATTTGAGTCCTCGCCTCTAGCTGTATTTACATTTGACAATATCTGTACCCTGCAGCTATGTCGAGACTTAGCAAAAATGCTGATGCCTGAATTGAACTACACCAGATTCATCAGTCATCCATTGCTGAGTATGGATCTGATGGAACTGTCAACTGACTGGGATGCCAATGTGTCTGACGTTATCTGCTCTAATGGCTTTAAACTGACTTGTAATTTCAAAAATGCATTAGCAGACATGGTCTATCTACTTCATGAGAACACCAACGGCATAAAGCCGCCATTAGGAGATTTGCGCTTGTTGATGTACACAGCAGTGAAAGTTGAAACGGTGAATGCACAGAGTGTATATACATGGCTAGCGCTTACAAACACATCTGTTGCACTTGTACATGATGAAGCATTGCCTCCAGGCTTGTGGGTCACCTATTCTTCATCATCAACTTTTAAACAAATAAATCTGCACAGCCTGAGTGATGTCAGATGCATTATTTTAACAGACAGGGACAATGTAACCAAAATGACTCTCGTTTTCTCAAGCTGTGACAGTGATCCTTCCTTCGCTGTCGAAGATGATGATTTAATTTCAGTTATTTCTGAGATGCACACAGAGCACAGGTTATCATCAGTGACCGATGCATGGAGACTTACTTTCAGCTCCCATCAACATGCACTTTTTCTTATTAAGCATCTTACATATTAGTTGAAATAAATATGCAAATATATGCAACATCTATTTCAAGTATAATCAGTTCACGATCAGGGCTATGTTGTGTCTTCACAGTCAAAGAGATTGTTGGAATCTGGACACTATGGCTTTAGATGATTAAAAGGGCTACATTGTTTGATTTCTGGGGTTATTCTTGCCATACAGTATGTTGTGGGTTCCCTGCTCACCAAGTTGATCACAAATGGTAGAGTATGCATATTCATTGCTATTGGAGTAGGCAGCCCATTCATAAAGCTTTGACACTGACCTATCTTGAGGTAAACAATGAGTGGACACGATTTCCTAACCTGCCCAATGGTAGCTGCCATTCTAGATTTGTCAGCTGAGTTTGTCTTGTGGATTCCCATAGACATAAGATTGTTGACTTATTTTACAGCTCAGTGATTTAAGTAACCTAGAAATGAAATAAACAATCAGTGCATATGTTAATAATTCCTTTGAACTCCGTGAGATACAGAAAAAAAGTATATGCTTGATTTGCATCGCTTCATAATTTATGCGTTCAATTTCCTTTATGTGTATTTGAATGTAATCCGTTAGTAACTTTGTTTTTTCACGGTAGCTTGACACTTCTGAATTTGACATTGCAATGAATAAAATATTGATTGGAAAAGTAATAATGTTTTCTATATTTTATTGTATTTCCCTGTTTATTTACTGCTGTCTCCAAAATTACTAGCATTTTATAGACATTTATTCAGACAATTGATTTGTAATAAGTCTACAGCACAGGATTATGAAATTAAGTTTCTTATTACCTGGCAATGGCATTATGTGCCACAATTTTCCTGTAAACCACTCATCCTTGTCTAAAATAAAGTGGTTCTATAGACATCTATATAAAAAAAAATATTTTTAATTTTGGGGGGGAATTTGGTTACCTGACAGCAACTATATTCTGGAAATGTGTGTCTGTGTGTATTAACTAAAAACAGATTTTGCTCTCTTGTTCAATAAAAGCAAACCTATAACTTAATTTTAGGCCAGATTCATATATCCCATGCACATTAACTTCGGTAACACAAACCAATTATTTTGGAAGGGCTGCCACCCTACGACAGTAGACCAATAAACTGCTTTGTGCCTTTTTTTGAGCACAACACACTGCACAGATTCCACACCTGTGCATAGTGGGTAATGAAAACCACGATATGTGATGTATTGGAGTGCCATTCATAAACCACAGTTTGCGCTATGCCATGCATTACAACAATGCAGATGTGTAAATCTGGCTTAAACATGTTGCTGTGAAGGAGAATTGTATAACTTCCAGCTCTGAGATTGTAATAATTGCAATAATATCCCCCAATATTGCTGTTGTCGCAATAACTCCCAGCATCGCAGAAATAACCCCATACTGGTGGTCAGTGGCAATGCTGTGAAACCACATTAACCCCCTCCCCGCATTGGTGGTCAATGGCAGTTCTGTTAACCCAGACTCAGTACCCAGAGAACGCAGAGTGTCCCAGCACCAGCAAGTGCCCATTACACAGCACTAAGAGCCTGTGGGCTGTGTGCCTGGCACCACTGGTAATTGGGAAATCATTAGATCTATATGCCTTTAGAAAACCATTTTAAACGCATCTAAATACATCTAATGTGAATGTAGCCTTAGAAGCATTTTTTGACTTGCTCCCCCAAACACAAAATCATGAGTTTGTATTTTAGCCAAAATATATGATGACCACTCTTGGCAAGGGTCGTCATTTCGTAGTTCTACACTAACGCTTTTCAGAGTACAAAAAACAAACCCCTTTTATGTGTAACATGAGCACAGTCCCAGACCACTCCCAAGTAACCCTTTAATTCATAACTAAAGTTCCTATTAACAGTCAAAGGATTACCTAGGTGTGCTTCTTTTGAAGACAGTTCGTGAGTAAAGTAAAACCGAAGTTGCATATACCTATCCGAAACACTGGTGACACTACAGAGCAAACAAAATCCAGGTGCCTGCTCATTAAGACACCACTAATCCAGGATATTCTAGTATAGAAATATCAATCTAGTTTCCAAGTTTGAGATTCTGTCCCCTTGCCCTCACCCAAAGTAATCAGATGGCTAATGGCTGCTATCAGCTGACAGTGTAGAGCTGTGCCGCAGCTGAGAAGGAGCCCAACAATATTGCTGGGGTCCACTCTGACTGCCAAGTGATAGCTGGGTCTGGATCGCTGTGTGCGTCTCAGAGCCTGCCATGCCTGCCCCCTCCCTGTCGCTTCAGTGAGAGCTGCAGGAAGTGAGAGGGGAATCCCTTTGGGGTGTAGTGATGGATAATCAATGCTCTCCTCAGGGAGAAGAGACTGACAGCTGACCAATAACAATCTTAGATCTCAGTGTTGGTGCCGGCAAAGGACAGCTGCAGTGTCCCATGCCAGATCTAAGTAAAATCTCCTTTTTAAGTAAGTGCTACCACTGCCTTACTCCCCTACTGTTCAACCCTTCTTACAGCTGGAAGGGTCAGGCCCCTCTGTTTTTGCAGATTTTTGGGAAAATGCAGTACACTCTGCGAGAAATCGTTTTTGGGATGATGATCCTATGCAGCATTGTTAGAGTACTTAGCTGCAAGAAGCAACTCCGAAATCTTGTGTCCTGGTTAGAACCATATTATTTGCTTAGAGGTTAGTGTCTGAGATATAACAGAATGGAACAATTTGGATTGAGGCCAACTAACCCCCATTTTTGTTTTCGGAATATGGTAGGAATTTGATATACACAAAGGTAAAATTATGCAAATAAAGCCGAACATTAAGCTCCACATTTCTCTTTTTGGGAACTGTACTATGGACTTCAGTGCAGTAAGGTCACAGTTCTCCCTGCCGAGGTAATATGTTGCTTTAATCTTTAGTTCAGCCAGACGCAGGATTTGTGAGGTTAACTTTTTTTCTTTAAAAATAAACCAGTGCCTGTGAGACAGTAAATTTTGTTCGAATTATCAAATACTAAATGTATGACTTGTGGAATAAAGTTTTTTAGAGCTTTTATTTTTAAAACAAAGTTTGGAATGTGTTGGTTCCCTGGAGCTAGGCACTGCAACTCTAAGGTCTCTAAGATATCAAGCTTTTATGTGGAGCTAAGGAGAAAATGAAGAGAGGACCTGGGGTCATGCAGTGCACAGCTAACATATTGCATTCTTGCCAGTGGGCTATAGCTATAGGTTCACTTTAACTGGAGAAATCAAAGTCTAAAACATTAACTACCTCCTGACTCTGACAATCCCTGGAGATTAAAAACAAAAAAACAAATTATATCACTCAAAAACATAGTATTTTCAGACTATAGATCATAGTCTGAAATATTACTTTGAATATCTAGTGCTTTGGATATTACAGTGAACTAATTTAATATAATAATAATAATAATATATGGACTATTATAATTTTTTTAACTTTTATTAAGCATTAGGTCATCTAAAAGTACTGTTCAGGGAAACTTAACATTTTACATTTCCATGAACCTGTCATTATGGGATTCATACTATATACAGTACTCCTGGTGACCACCATGCGGCCCTTTGGCAATTATTGTGCAACCCTTAGAGGGTTTCGGCCAGTGAAGGAAAAGTATTCTTTAGGCTGACTTCTAGATGTTAAATGACCTTGGTTTATTTCCATTTTACTTTTTTCTGTGCTATCCATCTGTTTTTTATCTTTTTATGTTTTTTATTCCTCTAATCATTTATAATGGATTTTGCTGAGAAAAAAATCAATTCCGATTTTAAAGGGGGTGGTAGGGAGCCAAAATGTGTAAGCATCTAATTTTAAAGGGGCTGTAATAACTGTGGTCTCTAGCAGCCTCATGTTGCACATCTCTAGTATGACTCCTGATGCATGTGTCCAGTTTACAGCCACTTTTTTAGCATGCTTGCTGATTCTGGCCATCTCTAAATGATGGCAGCCTTATGTACAAGCCTTGACCAATGTAGCGAAAAGTGCTAAAATGAGCTATTGCAGACAAAATGCTGTCCACTTTTAGTTACAGAACTACTTTTCAGCTGTATGTAACAACAAAGAAAATAGAGGCAGTTTCATGGGTCATGAAACATCCCCTGCACCCCTTAATTTCTTTTGCTGAATTTACAGTTATCAAAATCATGAGGCTTGGTGATGCCCTATCCAATGTTGCTGCCCCAGGAATTGGACCACAAGTGCCATAAAGAACCTGCACAGAGGCTTTTGTATTACTTTATTACTTTCAGGTATACAGGGTGAGGTATCACAGCTGTGACTTGGCACAGCTGTGATACCTCACCCTGTATACCTGAAATGCCAAGTCATATGTGACTTGGCATCAATCTGTAACTGACAAATGGTGCATGCCTTGGTCTTAGTGGCTTTTAGGATGTGAAGGAGGAGCTTTGTAATGTATCAAGTCCATGTAGTACCTTTCTTTTTTATGTAAGGTGAAAAAACACTGTAACAACAATAAAACAAGCCGGAAATTAGCAATATATTGTGTTATTTTTAATTTGCAGAATATTTTTTTTTTATGTGCTGTATACCTACCTATATCTACAGCTCTACTAATGCTATGAGCAGCCCAGTGATAACATTAACACTGCTTTTACAAGGTAATATCTGGTATTAGAAAGGCTTTTGGTTCATGCAAAGTGGATTTATATCCTTTGTGGCTATTGAGTACAATAGTTAAATGAATGTATTTGCACCTGGAGTTCAGCTTTAAAGTAATCTGTGGGCCACAGAATGGAAATGTGACCTTGGTACTCCATGGCATACCCTGTAGCAATAAAGAAAATTAATGAGCACATAGGACACTTCAAAGGCTCATTCTGGCAACGTGAAAATACCTAAATAATATTGTGACGGAAATTATTTTTCTACCATAATTTAAAATGTCATGTTTAT